CACTTCCAGTGGCTGTGACTTTAGGAATAATAGTTGGGATAGATTTGTAGTGCACTTTCTAACACAGAAGAATAATGTCCAAGAAATTCCTAAGTCCTTTTATCTCTTTACCTGTCTCAGCAGGACAATCAGGTTGGTAGAAAGTAAGCAAAAAACAAACAGGAAAATAATGTTCATCTCCTCTTCAAGGAGCTACATGAGCTCAGCTGGGTTCTTCAGCTTAGACAAGCTCCAGGATCACCTGACAGAGCAGTGACAGGGGAACTGCAGTTCCTGCTCAGCTGAGGAGCCTGGGGCACTTTGTTAGAATGTCATCAGCACCTTATTTCAAGTGTATAAATTTGGCCTATGCTGGCATCTTGGAGGAACATAATTTTGGGAAACTATATAGAGGTCTGGAAAAGACATGAAGAAGAATCACAAGTGTGTTTTCAGGCGGTTTTTCTTTCCTTGTTTTGAAATATGTATGCATTTGTGCTCAATATTGATGGCACTATTAGTTATAGAAGGGTTGGGGTTTTAAGGAAATTATATCAAAGATTTCCTAAGAGCTGGTGGCTAGAAAGATTGGTTAGTATTAAATAAGAGTTTTCTAGTACCAACTTTGCTGTTAGAGCCCAATATTGATTGTGTAGCTTGTGGCAGAGCTGCCCACAGGGCACATTGTACAGTGATATCCTCTCACTTAGTTTCTTTCACTTGAGGCACATTAGAGAACAGCTGCTGAAACAAGTGTCAGTGATCTAGAGACTTCTGAATGTACAGTTGATTTCCAGCCACACACACATTTATTTCACGTTGCCACTTCGAAGTGCCAGGTTTGGGGGTGCTCTCCTTGAAAATGCTAGACTTTCAAGTTATGCACACTGTTCTGATTTGCTTTGCATGTCCATAAATAAAACTGGTTTATGGCTTTGACAACAGGAAAGCAGAGCCCTCAATAAAAAATTTCTGAGTTCCTTTCTTCTTCTTGTGGGTCAATACAGCACTTGGCTGCCTGCCTCTTTGCAGCCAAGCAATCAATCCCCTTCAGAAAAGACCTAGACCAATTTCACACTTGCTGTGTGCTTCATAATTGGCCCAGTTCATTCCAGTGTCAAAATTATTTATTTTGTCATGATGATAATCTGTTTCCAATAGTCCTAAAGTGTCACCTTGTGGCTTGTGCTGGTTATGATTTTATATCTTCAAGAGAAAACATCCCTAAGCATCGAATACAGAAAATCTGTAAGTTCTTCTCTGGGTATGCATAAAATTAATTTGGGGAGTCAAGATTATTTTATTTTAACTGAGATTGCATTATTGGGGTTTACTTTTGAAATAACTGGTGATAGGTAAGGGCAAAAACCTCCTAAGTAGTTCATAATCTATTTGGAAGCTACTGATAGATTTTTCTGTGGTTAAATGCAGTCAAATGACTTTAGGATGTGTGAAAAAGCAAAATGTAACAAATCATGAGATCTTTAAAATGCTGACTGCTGAGTAATAAACCTAATTTTCACACTACAATGAAACAAACAAAAATGTTTATTTTAGGTGGAAAATGTATGTGTTCTCTGACTGTTTTACTGGTGAGTAGGGTCAGAGACACAGACCCCAACTTAAGGAACAGTGGCATTTACTATGATGGAAAACTGCAAAGAATCACAAAAGGATAAGCTAAGCAAGGCACCTAACCATGAGCAAAGAGTTGCAAAGGGACAAGCTGAGCAATGCTAATCATTGCTAGGAAAGAATGCCTACAGTGATTATGGAATATCCATCACACATCATCCAAGCCCAAGAGACATCAGCTCTGGGGGGAAGTGTCACAGCCAAGGGCTGGAGAGCCACGCCAGGAGCTGGGAACTCCTGCAGTGCCTCCTCCTCTGCAGGCCACGAGGCTCCCCCACTTTGCTGTGACAGTGGCCCGGGGTTTACACTGCTAAACAAACCAGCTGACATCATTTCTAATTTCATTTTCCTGTCAGCTTCCTCCCAGAGCCTGGCCAGGGCTCAAGGAGGATCCAAGGGAGTTGTCTTTGATCCTATACCCCCTAGTTAGGCCAGATGGGGCCTTATGCTGTTTCTAGATACAGAAAGGTGAACGTGTTTTGCCAATTAATGAACACATATAACAATAATTTGTTAATGAGCAACTATATTTAACATTTAGTTGGAAAGTTCATCTAGAGGTCAGCTTTGGCTTGGGCCTGTTGTTCAGGCCTTGGTACTTCACTGACCCAAAGCACACACGATCTAAATTCATTTGCACAAAGGGCAGTGGAATTAATGCATAGACAAGATGAGAGTTGCTAATGAAACATATTCCTGTTGTTTTGAGCTAATTTGTGTGTAATATTTTATACTGCATAACATGTCTTTAAAATAGATTTTTGAGTTATAAGTTGTGAATGAGCTAGCACAGATACCCACTTTAGTGATAACTTCCAATGCTTCTGAAGTACTTCTAAGGTAAATTAGATATTGATTTCTGAAAAAATGGAAGATTTCTCATTGCTGAATTCTGAACCCTACATATTAAATAAGAATTTGATAGCTGATGCTAAAACTTATTATTCTGTTTGATATGTCCAGAGTCCTAAACTGAAAGATGCCACTGCACAAATGCTCAGCTTAAAAACAAACAAAAAACAACAGCAGCAAATTGTTTTCCCAGTCAGCCCTGCTCTGCTGGAGCCATGAGTGATGACTCTGAAGTGTTTCCTTTTTGCCAAATCATTTTCTTGGTGTGTCAGGTTATTTCTGCCACCAGCAGTAAATTGATGACAGCTGTGAGTGGCATTGTCTGTGTTCACACACACACAGGTGACTCCTCACTGGCTGAAATATGTAGCAAAAAAAATATTTTTTTCTCCATCCATTAGTATTTATTTAACTTCTCTTTAACATCAAAGTTATAAACCCTGTGTCAGAATATGTGATGAGATTCTGCTGAAAGTCATTAGCAATGGTAGAACAATACTAAAATTATTTATGTCGAGCAACATAAAGCTAAATGAGCTAGACCTTGGGTTCAAAGAGAAGATGAGTTTTTATGTAAATTAAACCAGATTTTTACTGGCCACTAATCAAGTGTTTACCTGTTTCCATTAAAACTACATTGAGTTTAATCAGCATGCCTTTTAATGCATGCATTTCTCCCCAAACAAGGAGCATATTTGTCATGAATATTTAAATTGGATTTTAAGTCCATGAAATTTTAATATAAATAAAAAGTCAGGTGGTTTTCTCAGGGTTGAAAGTTAGCATCCTCAGATCCTATTCAAAAGTTGTAAACAAATTTTCAAATTAATGGTCTCCAAAGACATCTTAGCATTTGGGATTAAATGTCTTTAATTGCAAAAAGATTAAATGTAACTATAGTTAATGGAATGCTATCTGTACATGAATATAAAGATTTTGTTTCTTGTAACTAAAGAGAACTATTACTGAATAATTCAGAAATGGGCTGAATAGAGTATTTTAAATATAAAACATATAGATATAACTGGACCTTATTCAAATCTCTGTGGAAAAAAGGCCTGTGGATGTTGATTTCTATGAATATATATTGTATGTACACAAACTGAAGTGAAGCATTTCATGCTGTAAAGAGAAACCAGAATACAAGGAAGCAGGGAGTTGACAAGTGATGAACATGTAAATAATTTTACGTTCTCTAGCAATTTAGAGCACAGCCTCCCAATTTGTCCTGTCTTTTCATAGGAAGTGAGACAGACCACCAACAACTCGGCTTCCTGTGAGGAGCTGATGCTTGATGATGCTTGAACTCAAGCCCTTAACAAAACCCTGGTTCTGTTGCAGTTGATTCAACACTCATTGTGGACTGGAATAAAGGCAGCCAGACACCCCTGCTATTCCAAAACCAGAGCTATGTTTTCTTTGACCTTCAGGGTTTATGTGGAGCTGTGCTGGAGGTGCAGCATTGCCCATGATGCTCTTTAAGCAGTGCATGTGAGACAGGCTGGCAGCAGGCTGGGTATCACTGCCCGTCACTGTCACAGGGGTTTGGCAGGGCTCTGCTCACTGAGCCACCTAAGTGCTGCTGGAAGATGAAGGGCTGGGTATAAATGATGTAAATGTTCATGAATTGATGCACTGCACTGTGATACTGGCTGTCACTCAGACTCAGAGAGTGTAGAGAATGTTATTCCTTGCTGGAGGAGCTGGGTCTCAGCAGTTTGAGGGGATTTCTGTTGTACAGAATGAATCCTAACAGACAAGATGAACTGCAAAGACGTTTCCTGAGGAGAAAGTAGCAAACAGGAGCAGGGATAAATGTTGACAGGGGTCGTTCACACTACATGCAAGTGAAAGCCATGGAAATTGAAGGCAGAATTCCCTGAGGCTTTATTGTAACCAGAGTTTCTCTCTTGATTCCTAACCTGGACACTTGCTACTTCCAAGTTCTTACAGCTGCTCTCCCCTGCCTTGCCTTTCAGCAGTTTTGGTTTGATAAACAGCCTTGACATTGTTTGTTAAACTGGCTTCAAGTGTTTTGATCAAGACTTGGCTTAACAAGGTGTAGAATGTAGCCCCCTTTCTGTTGAAATGTTAGCTCTTTGTGTAATAATTGCCTTTATTCAATAATTATATTACCTCACATTTTGATAGGTAATTTCTCTCAAAAAGAATTTTACCTGTGAGTCATCGTTGGCCAAAACTGGATTTCCTGCACAGGCAAGAATGATGTGTAAGAATCAGACAGGAATGGCAATGGAGAGGTAGGAATGTTCTTGTATTCCTACTCTTGAATACAATCACTGGTCTCCAGCTTTTTACTCGTGTGTTTCCCACAAGAAGAAACAATAAACATAGGTTCATTACTTTTCACTTTAACAAGTAGTTCCCCAAAATACCTAGCACATATATAAGAAACAGAATCTCAGTTTTTGTCTCATTTTTTATTTTTGCTTTTTAAAACAAACCAACGAGAAACTACTGTGAAAAATAACCCTCGTGTGTCAGAGAGCCCTAGCAAGTTAAAAAGCAGAAAATAGATTCAAAACTATTTTTAATCTTGAGAAAAGGAACATTGGATTAGTTTTGTGAACGTTCCTTCCCCATGCCAGTGATCGTAGTTTGGTTTTTCCCGGTGACTCCCTCGCTGGAGTTGTGAGTTTAGGTGCCCAATGCAGTCACAACTTGCCATCTCGTGGCATGTTTGTGCACTACCACGGTTAACATTGTTAACGTTCTTACAATCAGGTAAGGATTTTTAAATCCAAGGAAGTGTAGATCAGCGAGTGTGGGCCCCCATAAAGCATCTCGCCTCTCGTGAGATAGTTAAAAACCCAAGGGGGGCGGGTATCAATCGTCGATTTATCAATCACGGCGTCTTTAATTAGCCGCGAATGAAGCACGGACGAGCCTGGCGGGTCCCCCCACCCAGCTCAGCGGCCCCGCGTGGCCTGCGCGGGCCCCGGGGCTCGGCCGGTGGGGAACGGGCACAGGGAGCAGCGGGCACGCGGACCAACGGACACACGGACTGACAAACGGCCAGCGGGCACGCGGACCAACGGACACACATTCTCGGCGCTCCGGCAGGGGCGGCTCTCCTGCCCCGCTCCCGCTGTTTCCTCGCCTCCCTCCTCCCGTCGCTCTGCCAGGGTCCCCGTCCCTCCCGCCGCTCCCTCCCGGCCCCGGTGCCGCCTCCGCCCGGCTCCGGCCGTTCCGGTGCGGCGCTGCCGGGCGGGCACCGGTGGAGCTGATGCCGTCCGCAGCTGTCCCACGTCTGGGCTCCGCCTGGCTCGCCGTGCCTCCAGGGGGACACACGCGGGCCCTGGAGCTGGGCCGAGCGCTGCCACAGGCGTCTGGCCTGCGGGGAAGGCGAAGGAGGCCCTGCAGGAGCAGTACGGGGTGCGTTCCCTACTGGGGAGCGGCGGCTTCGGCAGCACCAGCTCCGGGATCCCCGGTGAGCGCACGACCGGAGGGAGGAGGAGGGCAGAGGAGGACGGGACGGGCGGCGAGCTCAGCCCGATGCTTCTCTTGGCTCGCAGGTGCCACCAGGTGTGTATCCCGGGATCGCATCTCCTGCAGCACCCAGCCTGTGCCGGGATGGGCCCGGGCTGCTGGCAGCCAGCACGACAGGAACACCCGTGCGGCCAGGAAAGCCCGGGGGGGCTCAGAACCGCACAAAGGACGCTTTGGATTGCAGGGACGGAGCGGCCGGAGCTCCTCCCCTGCCCTTTTGTCACTCGCCCTATCATTCAAGTATTTGGCCGAAGTGGGAGGGGATGAAGGCACGGGTTGTGTCGGCCACTGGCCGCGCTTTTCCCTTGCATGGAACAGTTGGGGCTGCCCCAAGCCCCTTCTGCCCTCCTCCAGCACCAGGGGCATTTTTCACCACCCAGAGTTTGTAAACAAGAAACAGATGCACTCGAGAAGGCGTCAAGAGCCTCTGGCTCTGCAGATGCTGAGGCTGCTCTGGGCTCTGCCAGTCCCTGGGCATGGCTGAGCTCACTCTCCCCTCACATTGCTCAGGTCAGCTGAATTGCAGGGCGATAAGGAAGGGATACTTCAAGGGAGTTAAGGTTTAACAGAGTTTTTATTCAAAAAACACGAGGGTAAAAATTCAACCTGAATATACAACAGAAGAAAGGACAGTTTACCCAAGTTGCCACCAGCAACTTTGCTTTGACCAGCAAGGAGTGCAGTGCAGACAAACTCCAGACAAAGGGTCCAAGGCAAAGTTGAGAACAGCAATCAAAATCAAAAGAGTATGAAAGAGTACTAGAAGAGAAAGAGCAGACAGGCAGTTCATTTAAGAGGCTGTCTCTTATCCAAGGCATAAAAACAACACATCTGAGCACAAAGCCATTCCTGTTCTCACCATCTCTTTCGAAGGACCATCATGTCCAAGCCATGGGCAGCACAAGCAGAAGCCCTCACCTCACAGCTGCCATCCCTCCTTCAGCCAGACATGTCTGTCTAACAACATCCTGTGAAGTTCCTCCATCCATGGACTCCATCACCAACCAGAGAGCTTCATCAACAGGTAGCTGAAAGAAGAAGCCAATGGCATGGAGAAAAATGTGCACAGCTAAATTACCTTATGGAAAAGACTGCAGGGGAGTTTTGCTTCCAGGTCACTTGTAAATGAACACAGAGTAAAATGGAGAGACATTCCTGTAGCTACACTGTCCTTGGACTCTGGACAGTCTAAAGGAGAAGGAGATGTGAAAAAGGAGATGCCTTTCATGGCAAGCACGTGAAAAATGTGGTTTAGGAGCAGCCAAGATCAGTCTGGAACCACAACACTTGCCACCAGCTAGTTCACCACCTTAACTCAGCAATTCTACCAGTAACTCAAGTTATCCATGGGAGGAGGCTGTGCACCACTTAGCACAAAAGTGGTCAACTGTCAGGAAAACCTTGCTAAAAGAGCCTTCAGAAACAGGCAAGGCAGTTGAAAAATGGGCAAAATAGGTGTTTCTGGGAACAAGAATCTCATCTTCCTAGCATCCACAACAAAGGAGACGAGTAGGGGAGAAGGTAGGCTGGAGCCAGGGCTGAGGAGGGAGCAAGGGAACAGTGGCAGGCCCCAGCAGCAGCAGCCCAGCCATGATGCAGTTAGGTTTTATAGTTAGTTTTTATATACCCCTGGCTCCTCCCAAAGTCTGCCCATGGACAGGAGACCATTGGTCTGTACCAAACTTTTGTGGCCACCCATTGTGGAGACCATCACCATGCATTTAGCTGCTGCATTAACATTTTTAGAGATTAGGACCACGCCAGCATATCCTGCTCTGAAAGGTATCACTGCCAAGAAGTCACTGACTTGAACTTACCCTTGGCCAACTGGCTCAACTTCAGTGTGTTTCTTGGCAGGCTCCCCCAGGCTCACAGTGTTTCCTGAAAAAAACAACAGGAAAGGTGGTCACTCCAAGATGGAGACCCCACCTTGCAGGAGAGACAAAATGCAGCTCCATGCTCTGGGTGGGCAAGAGCAATAAAGGACTCTGTGACATTCAGCTGCAGAGGAACACTGAGCACAGCTGATGCTCAGACACACACACCTCACACCCTGCTCTGGCAGACATGGCAGAGAGCAGATGTGCTCAGCTGCATCAGGCACCTCTCTCCTCTGCCCTCTGGCTGTGGGGCTGTGCTGCTGTCAGAACGCTCAGCCCATGATGCTCAACAGAGGGAGGGTCACTGTCCTCTTCTCAAAAAGGTGGTGCTTCACCATCCTCTTCATCATCCTCAAACAGTTCATGGTGCTCTTCCCACACAGGGAGATGCTGTCCCTCCCCTTCCCCCATGGTGTGATGTTCACTGTGCTCTTCCCACGCCACTGGATGTTTCCCATCCCAGTCCCACGCCGCTGGCTGTCTGCCCTCCTCTTCCCACACTGTGAGATCTTTGTTCTCCTTCTTCCTGCAATGAGGATGTTCCCACTCCTCATCCCACACTGCAAGACATTCCCTGTCCTCGATCCACACTGCTGGAGCTTTGCTGTTATCTTCCAGAATGGTGGGAAATTCACCAACATCTTCAATAACCGTGGAAAGTTCACCGTCATCTCTGAGAACAGAATGAAGTTCACTTTGTTCTTCCTCTCCAGACTTCTTGTCTTTCTGCTCTTTAACCTCCTCTTTGGAGACAGACAGAGCTAGAGGAGCCCCTGATGCAGCTTCTGTGCTTTGTGAACAGACAGTAGCGTGAGGGACAGGAAGTTGTATCACATTATGGCCTTATTAATCTGCATCCAGCTGCACTAAGGAGAAATGGCATTCTGGGGTGTTCAAAGTAACAGTGGGCTAAAGCAGACATTGCCACTTATGCTTGTGAATTAGATACTCCACCATGGCTAAAAGCAGCACGCAACCTTCTGTCTGCAAAATCCTTCCTGCAGCTGTTCAAAAGTTCTTCAACAAAAAAAGAAGAAAACAGCCGGGGATCCCTCAGCTTCAGCTGCTGCAAAGGCACTGACAGGAACCTTGGGTCAGCCCACCAGACTGGCACTCGGCTGCAACACACCAAAGGTTCCTTTCCACTCACCAAAGGAGGAGCTTCTCCGTAGCCACGCCTGAGGTGCCCTGCAATGCGAGAGGGAAAATTAACCAGATGCTATCAGGAAAATAAAACTGTCAGTGCTGGAAAATCCCACGCAACAAGGCAGCCCCGAGAGAGCGTTTTGCTTTCACAATATCACTCCAGGCGTCCTTTCAGTGAAACCCCGGTGCCTGCACGGAGAGCCCCCCAAACACGGAGCCTCCCCGCTGTCCCCCACTGCCCTTTGCCAGCGGGATGCCCGCTCCTCACCCGCAGCGGCCGCTCCCGTGTCACCCCCTCGGCTGCGTCCCCAGCCCTGCCCCGCCACCGCGGGGATCCCCCCGCTGCATCCCCGCACCCGGGCCCCGCACCCGCCACCGCCCGGCCCCAGCGCCCGCCACGCCGGCTCCGCGCCCCCCGCCCTCCGCGCCGGGCCCGCGCCGGCCCCGCTGGGCGCCCGCAGCCCCGGCCCGCCGCTGCCGGGGCCCCCTCACCTGCTTGCGTGGTGTCGCTCAGGTCGCAGCCGCTGCCGGGGAAGTCGCGCAGCTTCCTCCCGCTCAGGCACAGGATGCCCGAGCTGCCCGCCTCCTCCAGGGCCCGCTCCAGGCTGCGCACCGTGTGCGACTGCGGCAGAGCTGCCGCGCCCCAGTGCGGCCCGGACGAGAAGGAGAGAGTCAGGTGCGCGGGGATGCCGAGCCCCGCCGCTCCGCTCCCGGCCGCCGTCCCGCTCCCGCTGCCGCTGCCGTTGTTGCCGCCGCCGCCTCCCTGCCCGGCCGCCATCTTGACCGGCCCCTCCACAACAACGGCCGCGGCCGCTGCGCAGGCGCCGCGGGGCCCGCAGGGGGCGCCGCGGGACGGGGCGGGGCCTCGCGGTGGCCCTCGGCGGAGCCAACCAATCCGCGGCGGCGGCGGCACCGAGGGGCGGGGCTTCGTGAGGGGGCGGGCGGCTGTGAGCCCGCGGGCTCGTGTGCCGCTAGGGGGCGCTGCCGGGGCTGAGGGAGAGGGATCGGAGCGGGACCGGGACCGGGAGCGGGATCTTCCTGGCAACGGAGGCATCCCGGGAGCGGGGCGAGATCGGGAGCCCGGTGCTTCCAAAAAATGGCTCTGGATCTGTGATTACGAAATGCTAATGAAAGCCTCGTAGACCCACATTGTAAAGCAATTGTCATATGTTTGATGAGCAAAATTCCCTTTTAAGCCTTGAACCTCAAGTAGGTTTGGGTTGAATTGGTTTGGGTTGTTTTTTTGTTTATTTTTGCATGCATATGTCATGCCTAATTGGGGGATCTAAGGGAAATTCCCTCTCCAGGGGGTAGGGAAGAGACTGGCCTTCAGCCAGCAACGTCACTGACAGACAGCTGAGCCATTATTGATCACTAAGGGCCAGAGCTGAAATCCCATGTGGCTGATGTCTGGGTGACATTCAGCAGAAGCCCTGAGCCAGGATCCCCGAGCAGGTCCTGAACAGTGCAGGGGTCAGTGCAGAGCTCTGTGGCTTTGGGGATCTCCCTGTCCTGGCACACAGATTGCCCTTCCAGCCAGGAGCTCTGTGTGCAAAATGCAGCTGTGGGGGGAAAGGGTCCCATTGTCACCTGCAAACGGTGTGGCTGTCTGCCTCCTCTGCCCTCAGCTCTGGGTGCTCATGGGGGCTGTGGCATTCAAGCTTTCAGACGAATATCTGCCAATCAGTCTGGCTGGGCCACAGCTTCTGCTCCTGCCCTGAAAAAAACAATCATTCCCTGGATTCCCTACAAGAAAATCAGGCCAACCTGTATAAACACTGCTGAGTGCTGCCCTTGGTTGAGGTTCCAGCCAGAGGGGGTGGAGGGTGAATAAACCCAGACTGGTGTTGGGCCAAGTGTGTAGGATGATTTTGTCTGCAGGCATGGAGCAGGAGGCACAGTGGCTCTGCAGCTGGCTAGAGTGAAATAGTGTATGGGCCCCTTGGAATAACAGATAAATAGAAAGCAAAAAACAATACTGGATGAATCTTCCACCAAGTTCTCTGAAACACAACGATACAAGTGGCTAAAGACACGGGTCAGTGGTACTGCGGGTTCAGTGCAGTGACCAAGCAGGGCCACAGGGCTATGCTGGTGTCCTCCCTGCCCTGGGATGCACGGTGGGGGCTCCCTTCTAACCCTGTGCAGGTGCTTCTTTAAAAGTTCTCAGTCACCACCGGAGATGTTACTCTGGAGGTGGTGTTGCCTGGCTGACAGAGAGCAGAAGATTTCCTGGTCACAGAGCGGCCCTGGCCTGTGTGCAGCCATCCTGGCTGGGAGCTCAGCCAAAAGCAGCTGCTGCCAGTCCCCAGGTGGGGAACTGCTGGGCCACAGCACAGGACAGTGCACAGGAACTGAAATGTCAGATGAGCACAGGCCTCGTGTGCCCCAGCCAGGGCTCAGGAAGCAGCTGAACTGTGTCACACAAATACCCCTGGGCAGCAGCTCACCCTGTGCACAACAGCAGGGATAACTCTGTTAGGGACAGTCATTCTGTGCGTTTAGCACTGTGGCACAATGGGGTATTCTATGCCTGTCGGGCTGAGCTCACACTGTGCCCTCTCCCAGTATGTTTTTTGTGTGATGCTTATGCATTTTGGCTGCTTTTGAATGCAGTGCAAAGCCTGTTTTATCTCCTGCTACATAAAAAATCACACAGCACTGCAAGGGAATCAAGCTAGGAAAGCAGGTTTGATCACCTAAGCCCTCAATATAAATTTAAAGAGTGGTTAAAAGATTATAAGGTACAGATTGCTAAAAAACATTTCTTTGGAGAATAGAATCAGGGTGCGATCTGAACACCAAAACAATGTTTCCCACTCAGCTTTGTTCTTTCAGGACTGAATGGCTCCATCCCTTTCCAACCTGGCTGAAGAAGTGCTCAGGTTTTCCCACTGAATCTGCCATCTTCTGTCCATATTTATAGCCAAGAGGCAACTGGAATCAGAGATCCTGCCACTTGTGACTGTGTTTCTTGTTCACCTTTTTAATTTCCGTGACATACAGATTATTTGCAGGAAGGGGTGATGTCTCCTCCAGAGTTCATTAACCTGGGTGTTGGGGTGCATTTGTTTAATTTTGAACATACAATTTTGAGTAGCCAGGACTGCTCTGGTAATTTTGCCAGTAACATTCAAGGCATAAGAGATCACAGCAAAGATTTTACAAAATACCTATTGAAAACCTCACACTGCTTTGGAGCCAGCTTTTAAAGCAGTAAAGTGCCTGCAGGTGGGCAGCAATGGGGACCAGTTTCCCCCAAAGCACCAGTGTCACACAGAAGCTGAACTTGCACCAAAGAGCTGTTGAAGGAAAGGAAATGACCAGAGGTGACATTGACAAGTTAAGTTTTTTATTCAGTGCACTGGACTCATACATCACTGCTTCATCAACTAAAACATTTCACACATTCCTATAAAACCAATGCCAAGTCCAGTCTCTTAAAGATGCTCGGTGTAAAACATAAAGCAGTCTATCAAATATTTCCTGTTATAAGTATAGCTCAGAGCCCAGTAACAGGCTGTGTCCAGCATGTTCAGTGCTGGGTTCCACAGTGGATGGAGGATGGAGGAGTTACTCAGGGTTGATGCAGGGCTTCATTGAGAAATGTCTAAACCCAGCTCATTAACATCTCACCCAATGTTTATCAGAGTGCTGCTGCTGGTTTGATTATGCTGCTGCTTTGAGTATGGGTGGAGCTGCAACTACAAAAACCCTAATGCAGAACTACTCAGCACTGGAAAAAAAATGTGATCTGGGCTGGGGCAGCCTGTCTTGCTCCGTGCTGAGGACAGTGACTCCAGCAGCACGGCATGGCACGTCTCACCCCGTCCCTGCAGCAGCAGTCAGAACAGCACAGCAACCCACAGAGAAATGCAAGGTGCTCAGGCCTGACTGGCAGGGCAAAGCAACAGGTTTTCAGGGTGGAGGGGTCTTACACTGCAAACCTCTGGGCAGGGATGCCTGCAGGCACAAGTTGGGCAGCTGGGTGGATACCGGTGATTGTGGGCAGCTGCAGCATCCCCACTTTGCTCTGTCTCCCATGTGGGCAGGCACATGATGCTCAAAGCCTCCCACCCCCAGACAATGTAGGGAAGGCTCTGTGGTCTACCCTGGTCAGCACAGGGTGCCCTGGCAGGGGGACAGGGCTGGGGCCAGCCCTACAGCTTCCCAGCAGAGCTCTCCCAGCAAATCCATCTCCGCTCATCCCCCTCCCTGCCCATGTCCCACCTGCCCTGTGCTCTGACCCAAACGCTCATCCTGCCTGATCCCTGCCCTCAATCACTCATTCACTCTGTGTGGAAGGAAGGAGACAGCACATTGCCAAACCAGCTATCTCAAAGGGAATCTAAGGACTTTTATTGAGGCCTTGTCAGGGGGCCTGGAGTGTCCCAGGCAGTCCCTGTGCCGAGCGCGTGTCCTAAGGCATGGTGACCGTCCGCCGGGCGCTCCTGGCCGCTGTAAAGCGCCTCTTATTCCTCAGACCAGAGAACCTCTCATCCAGCGTCAGGCTGGTCTGCAGGGGAAAGCGAGAGCGAGTCAGTCCCCTGTCCTGTGGAAAAGCACAGCCAAACTCGTAGCAGGGGTATTGATTAGAGCCCATCAGTCAGGCTGGTGATTCACAGCTGGTTAGTCAATTAAACCACTCAGCACACAGAGACAGGGAGCTCGACAGACTGTGTGCAGCTGGAAAACCTCCAAGCAGCTCCCAGCCCCAGGACACAGGGCATCCTCGGCAAGAACAGGAGCAAGCAGATGGCATTTGAGCACAAGGCATCGGGTAAAACCAAACCGTCCACACCAGAAACGCCGGCAATGAAGAAGGTGGAGCAGGATTTCTCAGCTGCCCCAGGGCTCTTGGACCATACTTCAGTGTAAAATGTGACACCAAGAAGGGCACCAAAGCAAAGAGCGAGCAAAGCCCAGAAGTGCCATGTGTCTCTGAGGAATGGGAAGCACTGACAGTGAAACAGTCCCCTCTGGCCAGGACTACTCATC